GCATTTTGGATGTCAGTATTTCACAGTAGTTAACACCAAACCTTTACAGTACTGAGGTAAGTTGGGGTCTAATACATAAAATGTACAGTTTCAGATTAGTCACAGTTTTGATTTGTAGCTCTGACAATAGACAAGAGAACATATGCTCATATGCTTCTGTTAGCTTAGCTCTGGGCAGAAAATAGTGTAACGAAGACAGTACACTGGTGATTCACCCTTCCTCTGAGCTAATCTCCCACCGCCTCTGTAGGCTGTGGTGGGCAACAGTAAGCTCTCCTGAGCGCCGTATATAACAGGAGTCTGGGCACGTGTAAGCACTGCAGAGCTGGTGGCACTACTTGTATGAGAATCTGTGTTCGCCCCGGAGCCCCAGCCAAATTCCTCTTCTTATTCCCTAATGCCCTTGCCAGTTCCACCTGGCTGCGTTATAGGTTGTTTCCTCACCAGTCATGGGGAGTTGCCAGAGGTAGCTATTTGCTGGCACAGGTTCACACTCCTGGCAGCAAAACGGAGTGAAGGGGAGCCCTCTGGAAGGAAACAAAAGTTGTGAAAGTTCATTTTGCAGAGCTGCTGCTATTTATAAAACTTGGCTGCCCATAAAGGAAGGAGAAGGGCTGTGGGTAGGGCCTGTGAAGTCAGCCTCTCTTGGAGAGCGGCTTCATTCACCACTGCCATGGTTGAATAGTGCCATACATGCCCTCTTATCTGTCTACACAACAGATGCTTTCCATACGATAAGGGGTGAGCATGAAGGTAGGGTACCAAGGTAATTTCCTGGACATTACACAGTCTATTTATTTCCTGATTCCCCACCACAACCACTAATGGAAACCGTTGCTGTAGGCACAGGTCTCTGGGCTGAACAGAGTTTAAGCTGGCCCCTTGCTGTGACAGAGGGAGCATCTGTCCCTGGGAAGCAAAACAGAGGGGGTTTTTCCCCTCCCTACATCTGTGGAACCACTTACCAGGACTTCCACCTCACAGGCTGCTAACTGCCTCAAAGTCACATATTCCCACAGGTTTCCTCTCATGTTCTTATCAAATATCCATGAATTTTCCTTCCTTCAGTTGTAGCTGTCAGAGGAGCTAGGAGGGTATCTTGCCTTTTCATCACCTTCACTGAGGCAACATCGAGGCTGTTGGTGTGGTAGTATAGCCTGCAGCACTTGGTAACCAAGGAACTACTAAGTAGATCAACTCTGAACAATCTCTGGAAAACATCTCATACCAGCTGCAGCAAAGTCCTACTAACTGGTTATGCAAACCCATGGATAGTATGAAGGAACCTGATAATTTACTGCATCCTCCCAGGCATCCCATCTGGGTGGCATATTGGCCCACCGGTGTTCCTCCTTATTTAAGTAACCCCTGCCCAAGCCTCTAAACTGTTGCGCAGAGCAAGGAGTTTTGCAGTAGAAACTTGGGAGGAACATCAGTGTCCTTCAGGGTGCAGAAAGGAAGGTGAATAAACGAGCAGAGAAGAGGGGTATCAGCAGGTCCTGTGTGAATTTGGTTTGATTTGCCCTTTTCCCAGTTCATACCCTCCCCCTTCCCTTCCCCTGCCCCTTGGAAAAAGAAAAGAGAAAGGATCTCATCAAGGGACTGAGCATAAAAAAAAACAGTGCAGACAAAACCTCTGGAGATCTCATGCGAAGTATCACAAGAACACAGCTGCTCCTGGGCCTGCTGGACTGTAGTCTGGGAACAACATTTACACAGATGAAACTTGCAGATAAATTCTGGGAAAGCAAAATGGAGATGCATGGCTAAAGGGGTTGCTCTGCATTCAGCCTCCTCTTCACCTCACAGGCTCCTGGGTTCACCAGCAAGCAAGAATAGCCACATCTTTGCCTTCCTGACAGTTTTAGAAACCAGTCATATTCTGGTCTTAATTTAAGCAAAGACTTCCTCACCCTGTCCAGGTCACTTCTACCAACTGCAACGGTTAACACATATTTGGAAAAATTCTGCAGTCAGCATGTGTTTGTCTTCTCCTCACACTTTCAAAAATGATTGTGCTGGAGGAAGGAAGCCTCCCCCTCGTTTGCCCCTTCCAGCTGGAAAATCACTCCTCCCCCTCGTTTGCCCCTTCCAGCTGGAAAATCACTTCTAATCTTAACTGCCTTTTTTCCTGCTGTGTATCCTGCCAATTAAAACTGGGTCTTGTTATGAACTTCAAATAATGTGGCTAAGCCTTTGGTCAGGTTTTTTCTATTTCAATTTTCATTCTGCTCATGAACTTGGGTTTGGCTTGTGTTTTGCATCCCATATTTAGCTCATGCTTCTCTCATTTCAGCCTCAGCTCCTGTTTGCTGTCCTACTGCTCTGCCTGGCATCTGCCATTTTGTTGCTGCTGTTTCACATGTGGTGGGTGAATGGGTTCACTTGCCATGGCACTGGAGACATTTTAGCCCCTCTGGGTATGTGGATGGGCCTCTGTTCATTCCTCTGTGTACTGCATGTTGAGGACATACACATATATCACCTGGCTAAGCTAAAGCCTTGTTTGCTTGTTTTGGCTTCCAGGATGTGTATTCTCACACTGCCATTTGATTGCTCCACAGAAAAATATCATCAACTTGTAGTGGATGTGACCACCTCCAACAGAGTGTCCTTCTCTGTCTCCCCAACTCCTTACAGCAACCTACAGGCTGGGTAAGTTGGGTGGGATTGGGTGGCCTCTGCGCATACCTCCACATCTGGCTAAGGACCACTCACTGGAGAAGTGTAACTCTGTTTAAATGGGGACTCTGGAGGATCTTGCTGTATACATAGACCTCTTTCTTGAGGGCTTGATACTAGGTTCTCCCCTTTACAGCCAATCCTTATTTCACTTTTCTGTTTCCTGTTAAGGCAGTCCTTGGACAAAACCACAAGGTTCTGCCTTGGGTATTCTTAAGTTCAGCACTGCCACGGGATAAACTTGCCTGTGGTCTTTTAGGGCCTTGCTCCTCTAGAACTAAAGAGCCCCTTGATGTACAGAATGTCAAATATTCCTTCAATTTCTTTCTGCAGAAGACAAAACCTTTCAGGGAGTCTCCAAGGCTCTTCCATACTCCCTTGACACCCCCAGTAGAAGTGGTGATGTGTCTACACATCTTTCCAATTAGACTGCAAACTCTACGGGGATGTTTGATACTGCAAGGCAGAGCTGGCTGCTATGGGGAGAGCACAGTTCACAGGAGCTCTGTCGGCTTTGGTGGCACTGCTGCTGCCTCTCTCCTTGACTCTCCCATCTGGAGTTTTGTCCATGTTTCTCTCAAGATCTGTGTCACTGTGGAAACATACAGCCCCTGACTCTTTTCTCTTTGGTGACTTCCTTCTTCCAGCTCATGGCGGGAGTGTGCACTGCTTGCAGGTACTCAGCATCAAGGTACGTTAAGGACAACCATTTTCTGCAGAAAGTGGGTTATTGTATAGCACCTGGAGGCTCCCTGAGATCTTTATTATGTGCACAGTCACAAACTTTCCTCTTCCCCCCAACACTTCGCAGTGCTGCTGGAGGGAAGGAGGCCGAGAACTGAGGAGACTGTACCTTGGAGTCTGCTGTGCCCTTTTCATACTGACGTATACATGGGACTGATGCAATGACAGTATGTCAGTGAGGCCATTGCGAGAGGTAAAATTGTTTCCAAAGTGACAGTCCATGGCCCTACATCTCCAGTGATTGGAAAATGCCCTTTCTTTTACATTAAGGTCATGAGTAACAAGGCTGCCTGTCCTTGGCTGAGCTTTCCCGGGGCAGAGGCTGTTTGTGTAGGTGGTGGCCTCTCCTCCTGCATGGCTTGCGGGATGAATGCTCATTTCACTCCTAGTGAAGAGACATATGCAGCTGTGGGATGAACTGTCATGAGCAATATGAAGTAGGGGAGGGAGTCACCTCTATTTGAATTTGCCACGTGCTGTGAGTTATTTAGGATATGGAGGACTGCATGCGCCCCAGAACCGGAATCTCATTAGCTCTGTGTTTTATACAGTACCAGGTACACCTTACATGCACCCACACACACCTCCATCTAACCTTTTTTTCTGGTCTAGTTAATCACCTACAGAATTTCCCTCATTTGTCCCCTTTGTCTTTATCTCAATCATTGTTCTAGCAGCAGCTGTAGCCTCATTTATTGCTTAGACATGAGTGGTGGTGGGCAGAGGTGCTTGCTACTTCTGGTACAGATGTACGAGCCATCTGAAGAAGGTGACTGCCTCCAGGATGCAGCCCTTTCCTCCACAGTAGCTGCACATAGTGTTCCCAGTTTTGGGAAGAAGCTGCTTTCCACCACCCACCTGAGGAACATGAATTTCTCGTGCCATCCCAGTAATATAAGTTTCACACAACTGATGTAGGTCCACCTTATCTCAGAGACTTACATGCCACTTTGAGATGATCTCTTCCCTACCCTCAATGTGGTCTGGACGTGTCCCTGAACTAAAGAATATTACTTCAGTTCCTCAGAGACAATGAGAGATATTTGCCTTTTCTCCTGATATTTCTCTATCAACTCTTTCAAATTTTGGCTAGAGAAAAAAATTGTGAGATACCGCAGCTGGAACATGGGATACCATAGCCAACTGTCCGCAGACACCACATCCACTGGGACAAAAGCACGGCGAATTTGGCTGAACTTAAGTCTGTGTTTCAGTTTCCATGTTTCAGCTGAGGGACAAATGAAGTATCTCTGGGTACACTCACTTCACACTGACCACCATGGGATGAGAACAACCCATGTACATCCCTGCAACTGGGAGCAGGTTCCTGTGGCCACTGATGGGGCAGTCACACGGGAAATGTGCTTGTGGCACTTACTGAACTGGCAGTTTCAGAAAAGGAAACTTGAGCCAAGGAGCCTGAGCTCTTAGAAGCAATCAGACTGCTGGAGAAGGTCTAAACAGGCCTTATGGGCTGCTGAAATAGGCTCCAAAGCTGTTGGTCCTGCCCTGTTTGTCAGCACCATGTTCTCCTACAAAAGAAAAAAACAGGACACAGGAAGCACCAACACAAGGTGGGAGAATCAAGACCTCCATCCAATGTACTAATAATACTTAGCACTGTACACCACTGTACTGTTACTTACAAACATTAACTAATACATCCTCACAACACCCCTGCGAGGTAGGGAAGTATTATCCCCAGTGTACAGATGGGGAAACCGAGGCACAGAGAGGCTAAGTGACTTGCCCAAGATCACACAGCAAGGCATTGGCAGAGCCAAGATAGGAATGGAGAGACGGCCCTTGTCCCCCACCCCATGCTGCCCCACACTAGACAATGTTGTCTGAACACGGGGAATCCAAGAGGTCCCTTTGAAAAGCAATGCCTGGACTTGTTGCCTATTAATAATTTTTATTTGCCTTTAATGAATTATTTCACAGTTTTTCCCTCACACTGTACACCACGCTTTCATAGTCCGTTCAGCATTCTGTGGCAGCCCACAGCCTTCTCCTCCGGCACCGGGACAGCTCTGCAGGGGGGTTCATAGGGTGCTCTGTGCTTTCATTAAGAGGATGTTTAGAAACAGTTTTCACTGGCATTAGACTGGGAGCATGTGAGCTCTCACTGGAGACCAATAACACACACTGGAAAAGCAGGCAGAGGGAGCTGATGGTAAGAAGGCATTTGCTATCCCCTGGAAATGACCAGTGGCTCTCTTGGTTTCTTAGCTGTTACAAGCTCTAGTGATCTCTCAAAGCAGAAACTGTTTGTCTCCAATTTGCTTGGTCAGGAAGTTGTTCCAGGGGTTGCTTCCCTAACAGATGATAGACAGTCAGCTCAGGACCAGAGAGGTCCCCCAGCATTGCCTACTCCAGGTGTGTGACACTGTCTTGGAACAAGGCTGGCTGTAGCCGTTGTGCTCTCCTGTCACAGGGAAGGGGTATTACCATGGTTGGCAAGCAGCCATATCCAGCGTCTAAGTCTCTTTGTTTTCAAAACTTGGGATTCAATGAAGAGCAAGGGAGAGTGGATGGATGAGATGAGGATGAGGCAGAGCAAACAGGAAAATCCACCAAATGAGCTTCTAGGAAGGAAATGTTCCCCCTTGGGCACTTCAGCTGAAGCAGCTTCATCTTCACAAGGCTTCTTTCTCTCTCTGGGAACATCTGCTGAGCTTCATCTCTGTCAGCTGGATATATCGTATGACATTGGTATCTGCAGGGAAAGAGCACACACATACATGTACGGTGGTTACAACTCCCTGTGGAAGACAAACACATTGCATTGCACCTTCATCCTCGGTGCATCACCTGGGGAGCAAAATGGCTCCAGCGCTGCCTGCAGGAACAGCATCCGTTATTTGGAAGGGGTTCCAAACCAAACCCTGCAGCTTTGGTTTTGGTGAACCTCATCTGATTTGTCCTCACCATTCGTGTTGCTCACAGTCTTGCCTCAGCTAGTTTTAACCTTCTCTCTGATTACTCTTGGTCAGCACCATTCTTTGTGAATTTGCACAGTTGAAACCATCCAGGTCATCCTTGCTTGCTCTTGTGGAATACCACCTTCACTGGCCTCCCTTCCCTCAGTGCCTCCATGCAAGCCCCTAAAGGCATTTTGCGTAGTTACGCTCTGCCTTTTCACCCTCCTATTCCTTTTACAGCCTATATTTCACTCATCTCACATTTTCCCACAATGAGTAGAACTGAGAATAGCATCCTTCACATTCTCTTTGTACCCTTGCTTACCTTAAATTTCAGATTTGGAAGTCCTTCCACTATGACATTCTATCTGCGTTTTTGTCCTATGCTGTATGCTGCATACTGCCTTGTCTGTCCTGGCTAATGAAGTTCCTAGGGGCAGAGAATCACTGATTCAGCCATGTAGAGAGCTGTGAGATCTCAGCACTATGCAGGTGGTAAGCTGAGTCCTCTTTTTCCTTCCAGTATTTCCGTGAATCAACACAGCACAGGGAACATGGGAATTTTGTTTTACCTCCTGGCCTCAGTAATGAGGGAACCTGTTCACCCTGAAGCACGGGTTGATCTAAGTGAGTATGTGGCTCCAGACAGACCCCATGATTCTGCAGTCATGATCAATCCCTCCTCAAATCATGTTATCATGACGGTGACTTCACACACCCATGGCACTCACACAGTGGCAAAAGCCACATGGTATCAGAAGCAAGCAAGAAAAAAATAGCCACTTTCACTTATGTATTGATTGAAAAATGGTTCTTTGCTCACAGCCTTACTCAGACAGCCAACGAGGACCAGCTTAGTCCATTTAAGTTATTAGATCCTCAGAAACCAATGTGAACTGCACTGCAGTCCACAGAGGGCAATCTTGTCTCCTCCTCATCGCAACAGCTATGTGCCCCACACCAGCTAGGGAAATGAGAAGTGCTTGAGCTTTTAAAGAGAACTAAGAAGTGTGAGTTTTGCAACCACCAAAGCAGTTGTTGGTGCAAAGTTTTATTTAAACCTGAGAAGGGGACATCTCTGGTGTGCCCTCAGCCTGAGCTGAAACAGTGGAAGATGGATGGGTTTCCCTTCACCCAGAGCTCTCCACAAACATGCCATGGGGTAGCAGTGGGCTGTGGCAATGCAGCTGTGACTTCTCAAGCTGTCTTCGGTGAGGTGGGTCTCCCTGCTGAGTCTTTTGCAGGTTCAAATGCATCACCCTAGTCAGTCCAGAGGGTGGGATTCAGTGATTAAGTTACTTGCCCCCTCTGGGGCATTCTTAATGAGCCAAGAAGTTCTACTGCTGCTTGTGTTAGACAAGGTGTAAGAGCACCCTGGGCTGTTCATGCATTAGCATTTCACACCAGTCCAGCAGATTTTAAAACAGCTTTTTAAAACAGAATTGGTTTTAGTTGTGCAGCCTGCCATAGTGAAGCAATTCATTCAAGGGAGTAGCCCTATATTTTAGGCCTAAAATTAAATCAGCACATGGCAGGCAGGTGACTATTGAAGACCCAGCAGTGTGAAGGCAGGGCAGAGTCCTGCTGCACTGCAGGCACCTCCCTGCAATCTCTGCTCTGTGCCCTTCCAGGCTTTGATGGGCCACGCTCGGGGTACACATCCCTGCTGCTGAGCTTCACGCTTTGAAGGTCTGTCTGATGCAGGTGGTAACTACCTGCCTGGGCCTGCAGGGACCTGACGCCCGGCTGAGGGGTGGAGGGGGCTCAGTGCACAATGAGGCAATGAAAAGTTGCCAGCTCCCAGATAAGGTAGCTGGCTGCTGATGGCACAGCCTCACTCACCTGGGAGATTTCCACATGCCTGGGAAGCCAGGGGCAAAATCAGGTGTGGCTTGATAGAGGGCGGGAGATACTCCCATCGCAAGCTAGTTATAAATCTCCTAGACAGGTTTTGGCATGTTTTGCTTCCTTTTTGAGGGCCACTACTTCACCAAAGAGAAATAATGAGAGCAGTACTCTGATTACAGAAGTGGAGCTCTGTCTTTGCCAAGTCTTTTCCATCAAATAGTATTACACCATACTAGTTCTGCCTGCAGAAGTGTTTCAAAGCTCCATGTAAATGTTAATGAAGAGAAGACTCATCTCTCCGTGAGGAAGAAGCGATCCCCTTCTGCTGATGTGGAAACAAAAGGTAAGGACACCTCAGATAAGGGATCAGACCCATACAAAAAGATGCTGGCGAAGCTGCAAAGGGAATGTGTCTCCTGGCTCTCGGGACCACGCCTGTGTCCTTGTGCAGAGTAGCCTCCTGCCGTTTTAAAGGTCATTTCTGCTTCTCCCTGTGCCACAGAGCCCAGTTGCTTATGTGCTGTGCAGACACCATGGCCTGGGTTTTGTTCCCAGGACTTCTGAGGCCAGGTGATGGCCTGGTCTCAATCCCAGTCAGTACCCACCTTGACAATGTGGCCCCACCAGTAGGAAGCGGCTGAACGAGGCTGGAAGGTGAGGTGTGTGTTTGGCTGCCCAGGCTGCACCAGCCTCTGGACACAGCGTTCATGGAGGGCTGCATGTTTGCTCTGCACACAACTTAACAGTGGCTTCCCCCTTCCTTGCTAAGGAGGGTTATACAATTATCCTGTGTTATTTCCATCTGCTTTTGTGATTTTTGTTTGGAGGTAGCATAAGAAATCAGGCCAAACCCAGCTTTCACCGTTGACAGACAGTAAATAGCCATAAGGGATTTGCTGTGTTGACAGCCCTTTAGAACAGTAAAACCCTTTGCTAGCTAATTCCTCTTTACCGTTTAAAATCTCCCCCACCAAAGAGAATAACTGCCAGTGATTTGTGCCAAAACCATTTCTTATTAGAAAAACAAGAACACACAGAACATGACTGTAATAATAACCAAGTACTTCTACCAGTGAGCCTAGTGAAACCTCAGCTTAAGGAAAAGAACTGCATTTTTCAGGAGACACTGACTTATTCCAGGTCACAATAATTCTTCATAGTGTTACCTGATTCCTACTGCTGTGTTTTCACAGCCACATCCTTTCTTACTGTATGCATTAGCTTCTTTCCCCCTGAATACCCTTGAAGTTTTCCATAATCATAAATAAAACAGTGGAACGCTGGCCTTGAATGGCCTAACAATAACAGGGAAGAGCCTCTGATGCAGAGCTGAAGGCCAGAACTGTTTTTTGTATACATTAAGGGCCTTTGGGGACACTTTCTGGTATGTTTTTGCAGCAAGCTGTGGTATTTGAAGCTGTTGCTGCTGAATAAATTAGTATTTATTTCAAGAAGCAATGAGGGATACCAAATAAATAGTATCACAGGGAGGGGGGTGTGGTGGAGCACAGAAATACATATTTAAAAAATGGATGTAAAGTGGTTCAGCTAAAAGGACTTTTTCACATCTGAGCTTAGTCAGAACCTCAAGGTTAGGATAACTTCTTATTTTCCACTGACAATTTTTCTCTTGCATAGGCTTCTCCATTTCCTGGTTCTGGCAAGGGCTGAAAGCAGAAGGGCACACTGTAACTAAAATAGGCTAAACTGAGCTTTTAAGCACATTTGCTCAGGGAGTGTGGGGTGCACAGCTGTGCTGTCAGACTGCCCAGAGCCCATGGTCGAGTGCGGCAGATGGGACCAGGCACCCTTACAGGAGGTGGAAGAGGAATTTGATCCCAACACACCCCGGGTGCTCCTTCAGGGCAAAGCCACTGCAGAAGCCCTGCAGGGCCAATGCCAGCTCTGACAGCCCCCTTGTCTGCCTTAGTTCCCTGAACATCAGCTCCACCGTGCTCTGCCAGGACCCAGGCTCATTCCTGTTTCACACCCAGTTCTCACACTTCCATCTTAGGCTCAGGTGGAAGAGCTGCTCTGTGGGGTTTTGCTTTCTTGTGATCCTTTAATTTTGAATTGAATATTACAAAATTCCTTTCTTTTAACAGAAATGGTTTCAACCATGGTTTGGTTTCATTTCCCTACTACTATCTGAAAAATAAAGCCACAATCTGTGCATCATGGAGATGCATTCTACCCACGTTCTGAGGTTAGGTAGGTTAGCATAAAGGTGGTTGCTCTGGCAAGGCCAAGTTGTTTGAAGTTATAAAAATGAAATGTTGGGTTTTGACACATGGTTGCCAGATATTTGAACAGGTAAGTAGCTGATTTCACAGCAAAAGTTGAAGCATCCTGATGAATGCTTTGTGAGTAAATGTCTCTTTAATCAAAGTAGAATATTTTTTTTTACCATTACTGAGATGTGGAGGACATGGCTACTGAGGATTACAAATAGTCTCCTGGTTTTGCTAAGGGGAAAAAGCTTTTTCTCAAAGAGTCAGAAAATATAACGGTTAGGATACATTCTTCCCCACCCTGCTGCCTTCTTCAAAAATAACCAGGGAGGGAAAGAGAGGCAGGATCCTCTCCATACAGATGGCATTCCAGCAGTAGTCTCATCTTCCAGGTTGTGCTGCAGCCTCGGCAGTGCTTAATCTTTGGGCACTGCAACCTTGCTGCACTGTGCGATAGTGCTCAGTGCTCGAAGGGGAGTACAGCTAAGGGCACAGTGCGTCATGCTCATCCCTGCGGAAATCAACACAATCGAGTCAGGGACACGCTAAGTCTCGTGAAAAGAAATGCAGGAGCACTCAATGCAAAGCCGTGTCCCCGCTCCCCTGATACCTGTCGGCTGGCGAGATCTTGCCTCTTTCAGGTAGTAGAGGGCCTTGTTGAAGTCACCCAGGTGGTAAAATGCCACTCCCGATCGATAGAGCGCCTTGAAGTTCTCGCCTTCTTTCTGAAGCACTTTGAGGCAGTACTCCTTGACTCGCTCATAATTCACCAGCTCGGCCTGGAGCAGGCAGGCTGCAGGGGATGGGCATGACAGGGAGACAGACAAGACAGGAGAACATTAGTGCTGTATTTCTCGCTGCTCTTGCAATCTGCACAGGGGAAGAGAGCAGTTTAGGTGAGGGAAATGACTCAGACCCATGATTCAGAAAGGGTGCAGTCATATGGATTGTGTGCCAAACCCAATTGTTCGCAATTTAAATACCAACATTTCTATTTTTGGCATTGCAAAGTGAAGGGATTGTGTTTGCTCAGGGGGTGGGGGGCCAGGGGGAGACCAAGGACATGAGCATCCCCACATCCCTCTGCAGAGCAGGCATGCCATAGGGTCTCATGGCAGCGCCTGGCTTCGTCTGTAGTAAAACGGCTTCTCGGACTGAGGGCTGGAACCCAGGAAAGTACAAAAAGGCAGTCAGTTATCTGAAAAAAGGGGGCTAAATTGGATCAAATTTTGTATTTGGCTTAATCCAAGGCTGTTAGACTTACAAATAATACATAATTGCCTTTTATCCAGGAGGTCCTTTATAGTGTTTTGCTAGAGGAAATAAGAAAGGGCTCTGCTCTGTTGGAATGCGCTGCTGGCAAACCAGAGGGACCTGGAGTTGTAGTACAGGGAACAAGTGTGCTGTGCTGTGTTACTTGTATTGCAACACAAGTTCCTCCTGAGAGGTCAGTTCTGCTGCCTTCCTAAAGGAAAAGGTAAACACAATGACAAAACAGCATGCTGAGAACTGTGTGCTGAAGGACAATCGTTGCATAAACATGAAGGAGCTGAAGAAAATCCTCGTAGTGTTTCCCACAACTAGAACTGAAATAAAGAGCAAAGGGGGAGATCCTCGAGGCACGCTTTACAGCCCTGGTCATGGCTTACTGTAGTGCTTGTACTGGTGGGCTAAACTTCAGGAGGTGTATTGGGCATTAAGAAGGGTTGGAGAACACTGACAAGAATAGGACATGGTGCAGTCACAGTCTTGGGGAAATGAAGAAAGTTGTGCTGTCCACAAGCCCACCTGGCACTGCAATCCCAGGCAACTTTTGGAATGACACTATCTGGGGAAGGGGGAAGGAAGGAAGGAAGGATGCTGCTGCAAGGATCAGTTCAGAGGCTGGCAGTGTCAAGTGCCAGGGCATGGAGAGAAATTTCCCATGGCAGGTGGTGTTACTCAGTGTGTCTCTGGCAAGGAGGAGACTCGCTGCTCCTGGAAATCCAAGTCATTACAGTTCAGGTGTCACCAGTAAAGAGGCAGACTTAATTTTTTGCATGGTAACTGTAGCCTGCAGCTGAGATGATACGATGCTGGGTCAGGAATATGACAGAATTCTTGATCCCCTTCCCCTGCACCCCTAAAGTAAGCCCTGCACCCCCTCTGTATCTCACTTTACATTTCATGAGAAGGAGGCTGGCTAGATGACATGCAGATTCTTTCCAACCGAAATTAGTCCAAATCTATGACCAGTTAACATGGACAGAATACGTTCCTAACCCAAGTACACGTTTAAAGCTTAAATAGCTAACTGGGAACAATCACAAACAGACTTTTACCAGTAGAGAACTGACAGTACAGATGTGCTGAGCAAGGACTGCAGAACTAGCCCCACTGCCAGTACATTTGGTTGAGTGACTAACGAGAGCTTTGCCCCATTTGCTTTAATGATAGACTTTTTTAACAGCTCCTGCCATTAAAATGCATAGATATTTCAAAGGCATCCAGTCACTCACTATTTGATTGCCAGTTAAAAACCACCTAAGTTTCTAAAAGCTTAACAACATTTCCTCACCCAGAATTTGCCCCTTCCTATTTGTCAAACATTGATTTTTCTCACTTTGTTTCTAATGGAGATTAAAATGACTGTGCCTTGTTTTCCTTTATTTTTCAAAGCTATTAAAAAGATGGCTGTGTAAATTTGCTGCTGGCTTCACAACCCTGATACGGGATTGCTTTGTTTATCTGCTGACCAGTAGCATGTACAGCAGTGGCAGTAGCTTTCTGTATGCTGCCAATCTGATCCAGCCTTTCACATTCTGTGAAATTGCCTTTTGGAGCAACTAGGGGGGATGGATTTCAGTCTCTGTTCATTTCCTACTTGGTGTTTCCAGTTAGAGTCATAGAAATGACTCTATGAAAAATGACAGGTGATCTATTCATGTATATTAACTCAGTAATTCCATATTGGACTTGCTTCATGGATTGGTTTAAAAGAAAAGAAGTTGTCTCTCACATCCTGCTAATTCATAAACCCAAATGGGCTTCCAGATACCCAGCTGGGTTCTTTCTGTGACTCACGCTCACAGCAAAGACCCTGCAGGGCATCCCCACTAACTGTGCAGGCGGCAGAGAGAAGTCAGGACCACATGGCTAGCAGGAGAGACGTGTGTTTATCTGAACAAAGCGAGCAGATGGATGTGCAGGAAACAGTTCTGCTGGAAGAGTTGGCCATTTGGAGAGCCAGCGTTGGAAGCGGCTGTTGGAAATGAACCTGGAGGGAATATCTCCCTTATAAATATTTAGAGGTGCGTGCTTTCAGTTCTTGGTGGACTGAAATGATCTTAATGGACTGTGATTCAATGCAAATATTGAGGCTGTTAGTAATTCAGTTTTCCGAAATGGAAGAGACATGGAATCCGTGTACTTCCTACCTAATTCAGTCAGGGGAGAATTGTTTTGAAAACGTGTTGTTTTCCTAAACAGACAAGCTTCTCTGGCTGGGAATGTTTGTTTACCACATCAAACACCTCATCACCCTCCTTTTCTGTTCATAATAGGCCTCCAGTGAATCCTTCCAAGGAACAGAGCACCCTCAAAGAGACCAGACTGAAAAGTTTATCCAGCTCCTCCTGTTTTCTTGAAACTGAATGAGCTTGATCCTGCACTATCTCTAGTATCTCTCTGGCATTGAGAAGGATGCCCTTTACTTGCAGATGCAAACCTACAGTCATCCATTCCCTGCAGGTCTTGTTGTCGTCATAATACCGCATCCGGTGGCTACATCTCTCCAGCTCAGAATGTAGGGTGTCCTGCTTCCCTGCCGCCTGTGATGGCTATCCATCATACTTAGTTATCATTCTCAATTTGGCAGCCGATTTACTGTGTCAGCTTAAGCAATAAGTAACTCCTAATTTTTAAAACCATGTATGTCACATGGTGATGAAGAGTCCTCTGTCTGAGGGGAGTCTGCTGTAAAATATGCCGTATTGAAACTACTGGGTGAAATGTGCTTTGGGGAGGGGGGAAAAGGTTAATGCTATTAGTTCCAGTGGAGGGGCCCTGTCCATCATGCTTCCCAACTGACTCTTGATGTTTAAGCAAGGATGTTTGGGTGTTCTTCCTCATAAAAGGAGTGTTAAGCCTAGATTTCTAAGTTTTAATTTGTGGATTCAATCTATGCCAGCTAGTTCCCTCAAGTGCAGTATAGATCTGGTACCACTAGATAACTGTACCGTTAGAGCTATTTTGTGTGGCCCTGCTCAGCGCAAGGTTAGGCAAAACAAAGATCAAAGCACCTGTGGAGCCAAAATACACCTACACATTTCACCTTTACCAGTAGCTGTGGCTAGTGATGGTGGGAAGTTGTAACTAAAATCCTGGCACTTGAGGGTTTTGGATTCTACTTTATTACACACTGAATTAATTTTGAATTCCAGAGTATTTTTAGGAAGATAACTAGGGTTCACAGGTGGCAGTCAGAAAGGATCCATGACAGCCCTTTTCTCCCAAATGTTAATTACTTGCATTGTTTCTATGTCACTATGTTTCTATACTGACTTTTTTGTTTAGCTGCAATTACACTGGTGCAATCACTAGTCACACCTTTGCTACCCTGAAAAGCTTGTGTTTCCTTGTTGCATTGGTACTCCGTGGCTCTGATCAAGTCGCTCCATCTTCTCCTTAATAGCCTGCATAAAAGAATGTCTGCAGTCTCTTACTAAAAACCACTATTTTTTCAGCTTTCCTCACTTTTACAGCTGTCCTCTGAGCCCTCAAACTGAAGTTCAACTGAAAGTGCTGCCATCATCTTACCAGAGAAACCTCTTCTGTGTGAATACCTCTGAGGCTTATGCAAATAGCTCAGTTCGCCCAAACTTTTGGCTTCTAATCTTGGCTGAGCTAAGAACTAAGTCTGGAAGTAGGATGTATGGGTTTTAACATGGAGATTTTGAACAACAGTATCACGAGCCTTGCCTATCTGGCAATTTTCACCAAAGGGTAAATCTGCATGCCAGAACAATCCTCCAGACACAGTTTATACCAGTGGCTAAATTCCCACTGTAGGCAAGGCTCAAGACCTATCTGTGTTACAGAACACTTAAGAGTGAGCCAAATTACTGTGCAAACAATGTTAGCATATCCCTACCCCGTGGCATGTTCCTTGGGCTCAGCATACTGTGTTAGTCATAACAGGAATTCCCTTTGCTGTTGTTCTGGGAGATGAAAATGCCCTTGCCCTACAGGAATATCTTGGGTTGCAAGTTCATATTTCATAAACTCCCGTCTTGTCTGCAGTTCACTGTCATCCTAGGTAAGATGGTAGCACTACCTATTTTTAAGATTGACTTGTGCTTTCCACTGTTGGAGAGTCAGCTGCTTATAACTTTGTTGGTCTTTTAAGTTTTTGGACTATAATATTCCATGTGCAATGTCTGCCTTTGATGTCTGCTTTTGGAAAATGTCAGCCAAGACTGTTGAGGTATTTTTGAAAAACAGGCTCGGGAAACATCTCTTATATTTCCCTTGTTAAAGATCTCTGGTGACTGTCTCTTTGAATTTGTCTCATGCCCTCACTGTTTGGCTTTGCAAACTGAAATCTGGCAGATATCATCTGTGTCAAGCAGGTGCCTTCTGTTGTGCCTGGGGTAATCTATAGCTGCCCAACTGATAACCTTCTGAAAATAAACCCAGTATAGTTCTGCATATAGTGCTCTGTAGAGATGCTTTAGAATGTGGTACCCAAATCCATTGAATATTCAGTCCACCCAGGGCACAATCCCATCTAGGAAAAAGCAGGATTTTTAAACTTAGCAAAAAAAATCTCTTACTGGCAAGAGCAGAAAGTGGAAACTGA